ATTTCTGCCGGCAGCCAGTAGGCCGCAGCACAGCCTTGTGCAGAGCCAGAGCCGAATTCCGCCCCCCTGCACGCACCCTGTGTTGGGTGCCACAGGGTGCCTGAGCTGGACGGCTGCCACCTCGCCTCCCGTGGGTTTCCCCACAGCGCTGCCAAGGGGAGCAGCGCATGGCCGGTGGTGCACAACCAGCCCGTAATAGCCAGATGAGCAAAACACCCCTTGCAGGTGCCACAAGTGGGGTGGCACGATTATGGTTTCCATCCAAGGTCAGCTTGGGGTGGGGAACAAGCAGTGCGTGGAGCTCTATGAGAGCTTCAGGCAACCCTCAGCATGTGGGGAGGGCCCCGAGGGAAGGGCTGGGCACCAGCATTTGGAAAATGTAAAGGGCAGGAGGCTGTGGAGGGAGGGACCAACGGCAGTGTGTGCTTGGTCAGCACTGGCTGACCGCAGCTGCTGACCTGCGGAGCTGGAGGTCACAGGGTGGGAGCAGTGCTTTGGCTACGCTCTGCTGTGGGGCATGCGGCACCCTCAGTCATGGCACTGGCCTGGCTGTGGCCTGACTTTGCTCATCTTGGCTTGGCACAGCCCTGCTTAACCAGGGACAGGTTTATTTGGGCTGGGGGCTGACCCCAGAGGTCTCTGGGCCAGGTAATATCTCACCCTGGTGCCCACATGCTGATCTCCACCTGCTCCTGGCCCCCAGCATCTCCCTGAATGGCATGAAGGTGTCGAGGCCTGACATCCGCATCGGGAGGTACCGCATGATCAAGCACGAACGTGACAAACACAATGAACCCAACCCACAGAGGTGAGTGAGCCACAGGGGCCGGGGCAGCTGGGTCACCGGGCGATCGCTGGGCTGCCTCCCCTGCTCCATTCACCCCCACAGAGGTCTGGCGCCATGGCAAGCCCCCCCCGGCCCCCCCCACCTCATCCCACTCCCCTTTCCAACAGATTCACCAAGATCCAAAACACCAAAATGACGATGAAGCGGGATGGGATCAGCTGGCTGCAGTACCGGCTGGGG